AAATGTCACTACTACCATCAAAGCAAATAAGAGTCACTAAAATTGGGAGTTTTTGTTGAGGTATTTAACGTCGACTATATATGTTTTGCTGATTGAGGCGCTCACGTCAAAAGGAGAAACATCCGAAACAAAACAACAAAACAGGGTCGACGGCAGGTCACTAGGACTAAGCTCAGCACAGGAGAGGAACGCCCCCCGGGAGAACACAAATAACTTCCGCTCAAAATCCCTTCGCTTCAGTCGCGCCAAACGTGATGGCTCATTCACATCCTCCCCTAATTGAAGCGTCCCCCCCCTCAAGACATTGAGCGCCCTGATTGCCGTAACAGCACTACGCTAAATCCCTCTTATCTCCTTCTACTGTTACAACCACTGCTGTCGCCGCGAAATTCCAGCCGTTCAGATGTATTCCGTCTTGCAGAACCTTGCGGACTTTATCCGCAATCTCCACACGTTGACGTGTTGAATTCCGCGATGCGTCAGGATCGCCGCGCCGCTCGCCGCGCAATTCGCCGCGTGCTAACCCGGACGAGCCAAAAGTCCGTCGCCTTGCGTTACTATTGTTCTGGAATAGCGACTTTTTTACCTTCAAACGATCATAACTTCCTTCAAAGTCATTCATTTGGGAAGGCTGAACACGGTATGACAAACTACAGGTTTCAAGCTTTCTCAGAAGTACTAAAACGTTTCTGAAAAGTCAGCAGTTCAAAATTAGTCCCGTTGTTACTTTTTTTGAGGGGTATTTTCAGCCATTTGTCCTGAAAACTCGGATTTTCTTAGGTTCACTGCCCGTAACTTCTTGGAACCAGGATCAATTTCATGTTTAATTTAGGATGTGTCTAAAAGGCTTCGAGCATGCGCTTGCGCTAAATCCTTGCCGTGGTGGGCGCCACGCCTCCGGCGCCCGCTCGTTTGCTGACTCATTTGAAAGCTCATTAAGAAGGAGTGTGGTCTTATGATCTCTAGTATCAGTCATCTCGCGCAAACGTAAAGTGCTGGCTATTATCCATGTTTTCACAGGCGAGTAGTTTCTTATGTGGTTTCGGGGCTTTTATCCATGTCCGGTGCGAGCACTTTTTCAGACGATGCTGCACGTCTTCCGTCTTTCCTTCATGAATGCGTCTGTGCAGAGTAAATGGCTTTGAATAATTGCACTAATATACACTACATAAATAACTTTCTGTGCTGCGCTTGGCTCTTCCCGTTCTTCGTACCACTATCCATTGATCAGTAGGATATCACCAAGAATCCCACTGCCGGCCACCCGAGAGAGGTACGACCCCGCGTCCAAGCTCAACTGAGAACCACCCCCGTTGTTACTCGTAACAACGAAGAGTTGACCCTGCTTCAAAGTCCAACGAAAGTGGAGGGCTTCTGGAACTGTGGTTTCATGGATGGTGTTACAACTTCTCCAATCCCTATAAAATGCTTCGTGTTCCTCTTCCTGGTAGCGGGTGCGTAGGCGGACGAAGATTGTCAACGAGGAGTTGATCCACGTCTTTTAATCTCAGACGTCCAATTCGCACTCGTAAGACTTTCGTATGAATCGATGTTTTTGCCAAAGTGCGTGTTGACGAGGACACCCACACCGCCAACGACTGTGCTGTCGCATGTTCCAGGAAACAGTTCTCCAGTATCGAAGACAGCGTGAAGCGGGAGGTGCCTCTCGTCTCGGTGCAGTCCGATGACGTCGTACTCGATCTTCCTGGCCTGCATCATCAGGTCTTCGACTGAGCTTAAGAAGCGTCCTTGCGTTTGAAGTGCAGATCGCCATCTTAGTCCTTCTTCATCAGACAGCCTATCGAGCCCTGCGATTCTAGCAGCCTCTCCGAGCGGTCCTACACAACGCTGCCGTATTGGGGCTCCTCAGGTTCAAAGCGCCCATTCAATATTGCTGTTTTCTGCATATTGAAGGCATACGAGTAGCTTGCCAGGCTCTGTCGTGTGGGATAGTGAGACCTCCAGGTAGTTAGCCACGCTATCCTGGAGCGGAACAGGGGTTCCGAGGCTTAGGGTCTGGAGTGCCCCAAATCGCCTTCCATGACTTCCCAGTCACTTGAAACGCAAGCTTTGACTGTGGCCGACATGCAGGATACACCGCACAACACAACACATAGAGCGCACCACACACGCAAGCATGCAGGATACACCTGAATGGAGACAGCTGATATGAATCGACACGTACTGAAAAGACAGGTATAGTTCATACCCTTGATCCACTTCTCAGGTCAAGTACATGGTGGCTTTTTGGTGCCGCGATTTACCCCTACACCTGGGGTCGCGCCACGTAGTTACCACCAACAACGCGGATAGAGATCTCTCAGTGAGGGAGGACCTAAGTGATATACACTGCGTTTCATAAATATAGGTCCACCTAATTTTTTGCTATTCCAAAGTTGCTGTGCATTTTTGGAAAATGCCGCTATTACTATAGTTTCCCCATAACGAAAAACACCTTGATACTTAATTTTCTGGAGAATCTCGATTCAGAGTTATTAAAATATCTTCCTTATGAGAACGTATTTTCACCGTGCTACTAACCTGCTACCGTAAATATGACTACACATCACTTGTCGAGAGATTTTACTAACGAAAAAAACGTCACGAATTTTCAATAATGGGATGATCCCCCAATAATCATAAGGAACACATTAATACGCTTTGAAATGCTGGTAGCCAAATTAGCTATTACAGTAGGATCGAAATTCGTTTGGGCGCCGATGATCGACCTTTTGAGCTTTTCGGCTGTTCCATTTTGCTTTACTTTGCTGTGGAACTTTATAACAATTAAGGTCCAATGGTTCTCTATTGGAATCCAATTCAGATACATGCGGCCACCAGATAACTGCCACATTTTTTCCTGGCAATTCCATCTGGCGCGGAGGGACCGCCATGGACAGCCGCGTTATCGTGTATGAAAATTAAGGATAGAGGAGACCGTGTTGAAAAAATGGTAAGACTCGCTTCGAAAGAACTTCACGGATATCCTGTGAAATCTTTGTGAACGGGAACAAAAGCGAGCTCTAGCTACTCAGTCGTTCAAAGGTGCCTCAAACCATTAGGGATTCACCGCCGAAATTACGTACATTGAAACCATCTGCGATTTTCACGCGAATCATCTGTACCTTCTTTTCCTGCCATATCCACCTAGAATAAACTATCCACGCTCGATCTCGACGCACCTGTAGAACGAAACAAGAGGTAGAGTCCAAGATGCGCGAAGGGTCTTTCACAGCCACACCATCGCTCATTGAGTTGAGCCGCTTTTCCACCTAGGAAATGGAGACGTTGGCTGATCTTGTAGCGCTCTAATAATCTTGGAACGCTCTTCATCAATCCGCTGAAGATGTTACTGCTCTGCTGGCTTACTCACCACACGTTGGTTTTGCTCGGAAGGCCGCATCTCAGTACGGACTTTGTTCGGACTCCTTGTATAATTCGAGAGAAGACACCCAATTCCTCCTAAATTTTGAAGAAAATGCAGTCTTTATTTACCTAAGCGACTCTTCTCTCCAAACTGACCAGGATTTTGCACATAGTCGCTTATGCAGTATGAGCCAGCCGACATAGGAGGAAATTCTGCTCCTCAGTTATCCCACTTCAGTAAGTGCTCTAGCTTGAACTTGTTACTGGGAAGAGAGGCGAATAACACGAGGTATGGTAAACTCAATGTCGACTGAGCTCACATATTTCCCCGCTTCCCTGATTCCCTTCACAGATCATGAGAAATGGAAACTTTGTATGAGTGGTCCGACATTCATGAAACGGTGAAAATTCGTTCTAAAAAAGTTAATTGGGGTACTTGAGCTGGGAATTTGTCAGGAAAACACTACGAAGGTTTCCCGTGATAAGGAATCTAACGGTGATAGCAGCATTTCCAAAAAATGCACAGCAACTTTGGGGTAGCAAAAATTTGGGGTGGACCTATAATTATGAAACGCAGTGTACTGCGTGAGCGGCGTTATTTTATCGCAAGCAAGCCGCAAGTACGCCCAGAAATCCTCGAGCGTTGCGAGTCATATTCAGTCCCTGGGAGGGAAGACGTTGTAAGTACTGAGATCAGCAGTGAGTAGAGCAGCGGTAGCTTGTTTGGGAAGGAGACGGAACCTTGAGTCGCGCTGGAGGTCGCTGTTGTCGAATGCACGGTGCGTCCCTATGTGAGTGCGATTTGCGGCGCGCTTTACTTGCTGTTCTGTGCATAGGGTAAGTGAGCTTGAAAGACTACAGGAAAAGGATGTGGTCTTCCAAGCTCACCTGAACAAGTCATAGAGGCCAAAAACACTTCCTGCGATACTCGAGCCAAAATCCTCAAATGAGCCCATTAGATTTATTCGGAATGCTGTTTACCAAACATTCCAAAAAGCAGATTTTTCAGTTTGCGGATTCCACTCGTACGAATTTAAGCCCAAAGCAAGCTATGACTCCTGAAAGTGTGGAGACCTGTGTCCCGAAAATTTTCCTCGTTATTTTGGTGAGAGTTTTCAGAAGCCATTTGAATATTCTCTGACAGCCGAGAAGTTTCGACATAGAAAAAGGAAATCTTCTAGTGTAGCGGCGCATTTCTTTTTCTGGATGAAGGGCTCTGAAAGTTACGGTATCTAAACCGTAAAAACTAGCAAATCCCTAAAATTTTTCCCACTAATTAACAACACAGGAGGAACACTTATCATTATCATTAAAGATTTTCGTATTTCGAAAAGCGCAGGCTGAGAGAGCCCAATCTTCTCCACGACTGACAGTCCTTCTTGGAAAAAGAGCCATAGCCGTCAAAAACTAAAAACTATCACAGCATCTTCTACAGCAGCACAGAAGGTGGCCCAGCGTTTACGTGCGAGTCACAGAGCTGTGGCGATCTTTATGTGCCGTCCCTATGCAGGAAAGGGTTGCGTATAGCGACCCACACTGTTCGTAGGAGTGGGTGGTCGTACTTGGCAATTTTATACGACGCTTCCCTAGATATCGGTTGGTTATTCACAGTGCGCTCACAACATTCTTACCTTTCTCATCAGATCGAAAATGCGAGTGAATGCCGGATTCGCAGCTGGACCGCTCCGCAGTCCTCCTCGGCCGCGAGCACGTATTGCCAAATATTCAGCTGTCAACATTAGAGCTCGAGCACAATGTGGAACACTCTGCGAACACACTGAAAAGTGTTTCCTCAGGAGTGTTTCGCAAGAAGATGTGTCTCTGATTCACCAACATGACTCCAGCTCAGCTAATATGTCAATATGGACGTCAACAAAGTTGTAGTTTATGGCCAACAAAGTCTTTAGAAGAGCTGTCGAATAATCCTGGCTGCCATTTAGAATCATTGCAGAAATTCGTGACAAAATTGATTTCTGCAGATGAGCACTGAAATAGTTTGGAACTAAATGTGGGTGTTCTCATTTCTTCAAATTTGAAAAAAAAACCTACACAACTTCTCGCTTTGATAGGATGATATCCGAATTCGGAATTTCCCCTAGGTATTCGTAATGAGCGAGCGGTAAGCAGTCTGAAAGTGGTCATCTCCAATACAACCATTGAAGAGGTTAGCAAACCAGCCCTTTTATTGGAGCTGCTAGACGCTACTGCACACTTGCGTGACCGCTCTCCTATCTTATCCCACGTCGCTTTTAAATAATACAGTGCGTACCGAATGTACGTAGACACCATGCAATTGATTCTCAGCGGTCAGCCGAAGGTTTTTCATGTTACGAACATTGGACGAACATATTCACCATTCAACTCCTAGGGGTCGACAACCTACAATGATATTTCCGGCAAAAGATTACGGTTAGTACGGTTAGTAAACTACTTTGATGGAAATTTTTTTCTTTGTATCAAAAGTACGTGAACACTCTGAGGTGGATGAAGCTCCTAAGGTAATTCCTTAATCTAAATTGCGTCCCAAAATTATACTCCACCTCACGTTTATCGATCACCTTTCACTTCTGTTCCAGGAACATTTTCATTGTGGTAACACTCCACTTCTTAAGAGGACAACATAATTAAACTGCTGTTGGATTTTGACCGTTGAACCGGAGGTCGTTGAAAACTATTGAACAACGCAATCGCGCCAGATTGGGACCAAATTTACGCCAACCTCAAGAATTTCTTCGGAGATTTTACATGATCTATAGTTCAGAAGAGCTTTGAGGGTCACTCATTACTTTTCGATAGAAACAAGGGCCGTGTCACAAAAGAATCATCGAATTCCATCCAACTATATCCCCCCTTCATATGTTCTCTATTAGGGCTAGTGTATCCTTCATTCACAGTAGCATTGAAAGTAACAGACCCTGCCTGGACTGTTGCTTTGATAGAAGGCAGACCTGCAATGTTCGACCGAATTGGCGTTTTCTGGCAATGAAAAGGCGAGTATCAGTTGCTTTTGCTTTAGTGAACCTCAAAATTACTTTTCACATGATTGCCACACTGGAAACATATATCTAACTATATGTGTTGTTCTGTACTTACTTCTACTACTTTTTTTTATGACCAACGTTGTCAGAATACAAAGAAAACTAGGAATGGACACAATGGCGAAATTCGTAGGACTTGGAAACCTTCGCTAAAAAGGAGCATATTTAACAACTCGATGAAGCCCGCCGTGTCAAGTCATATTATGATGTGGTCTATAGAGCAGATGCAAAAAAAAATTGGAAAGAAGTAGCGCATGCGCGAAAAAAATTAATGATTTGTGTGCAGGGTGAATAACGGTCAAAGATTTCCTCGACCATAGCTCTCTACCATGCGAGAGTAGTGCCGAGACTGAACATCCGCGCGGGGGTGCGTGACTATTCAATCGTGGCGATAGCTAGGTCGCCGCGCCAGCCGCCGCAGCCCGCAATGCGACGTCGGCCGTGGTTAGAATTCAGGGTTCTAGCATTGGGTTTTTTAGGATTAGATGACGTTCCCAGTTGTGAAACACATATGATCACCTGCCCACTTGAAATACAGGATCCTCGTCCTTTGCCATTATTTACAGGCTTATTCTGTCATACTAATGTTACTGCTTTCTCCATGGTTCTACTGCGTCTTGGAGCGTAATCGTTCCCAATTTAGCCAGACTATCACTCTCTGATAACAATTCAGGCAGTTGATTAATAAAGAAGTCACATTATATTCAAAGGGACAACCTTTACATGGCACAAGCTCTGCACTGTGTGGCTTAAATAACTGCGGAGATTTTGAGGTGGTTCTTGTTGGCTCACTGATGTCTGGAACTTTGGTCTTATTAGTTTTCTAACCCCACCAGCAACTTATGGACAAGGACCGTTAAGCCAAGGCCTACACAAAAATCGCCGCGCGCGACGCTGTCCGCCGCGTGAGCGACGTGACCTCATTGGCCGACGATTGAATTGACTGTCTCCCCCGCGCGGAAAGCACAGACGGCATGCCCATGGCGAGTGTGAATGTCCGCGCGAGAGATCGCGTCTGACCGTGCAGAGAATCCTCGACGTGCCGTTGAGGAATCCTCAAGCGATATTCACCCTGTTTGTGTGTGCAGCGCACGCGCTGCTCACGGTCCCACACGGTCGTCAAGGTGTGAAGCGCATGCGTTGCAATGTTGTCAACGTGTTAAAGGCACACACCACGATAGAGCACAGCGGGGAGCGATAAGCAGATTCAGCGTGTACGGATCAATGCGGCGTGTGAGGATATAGGTCCCGAGGTACCACCCAGGGCGAGCCATGTATGAAAGCGCTCCTAGTGATGTGTTTCGATAGGTGGAAGTGGCACAACTTTTGCAACTGCGATCAGCGAGTTGCTCACTGGCAGCAACGGTATTAAAAGAGCTCCATAAAAACAAATCGGAAGTTGTGCCTTCGGAGGCTGAGTCCGAGATCGAATGTGTTATTGCGCTTGTAAGCGACAGTGGGAGGACATGTGAAGTGTAACGCCAGTAATGGAAAGGGGAAGGTCTCTACAAGAACAAAGTAAAACCCCTCCTGTAGCGACGAAGCGCAGTAGCATTGCTTTGTGGATGGAGTGTATGGTGGTGGGCGAAGCATATGGTGGATTTCTAGGTATTAGCGCCGCGAAATGGTCTCATTTCGTCCAGAATCCAAGAACTTTATCTTCGAGCCTAAGCAAGGTTGGATGGGTCGCCGATATACACTAGTGTAATTGGGAGCAGGGACGACTGCCCGGTGCGCAAAATAATCGAGGAGGTCGTATTTGGTCAATGGAAAGCTCAAGTATCAGTCATAGAATTTCAAGCTACCAAGACATGGCAAAGTTCCAAAGGAGCACAGACTTTTAACTAGCATTGGGACTGCTGATCACAGAAAATTGAAGGACCCATCCCAGGGCAGGAAATCTTGTTGAATCGCTTCATGTTCCAGTAAACAAGAGCAGGTAAATTCTTACAGAGAAACCCCGAGTTCCAGAAGAAGTCTCGGTGTTTTTTCGAAGGCGCTATTCCTCTGGTTTCTAGCAAACCTTAGAGATGTGCAAAAGCTGTTATGGAGGAGGTTATGATTGTATTCTCGCGTGTGTACAGAAAATGGAACAACGGAACTATTTTTTTGAAAAGTTTAACATTTGCAGTAGTTTAAGTTTATTTTGGAAAGAAAAATTTTGTAGTTTTGAAATTTTCATATCTTATATTATAAGAGCGCAATTGAAGAGAGATATTACCTTTTTCACAAAAGGTTTGTTATTGCATTAATTTATTGCAATGTTCAGTTTTTCACTTCATTAAAAAGGGAGATTTCAAGATTCAAAAAAATTTGGTGGTTTCCTGAAAGTAGTTTCTTGCGATTACAAGCGTGCCTGTTTTCTTGCGAAATATTGGAAGTAGCTCTACTCAATGGATGAAATTTCATGTTTCCTCGATTCCCCTTTGTGCGAAACAACGTGTGCGACATATGAATGTGAGTGTGAATTGATGCCCATACATCAACGTTGGGCGTAAAAATATGTGACTAAACATAAAAAAACTAGTACAAGGGGGTCACACTGATACCACAGGAAATTGGGGTCGTAGAAAATTTGAAATCTGCGCAACGTGCGGTAATCCTGTTCAAAAGAGATGCTCTCGTAAAAAGCTAGCTTAATTGACTATAAAAATGTAGCCAAAATGCTAGAGAATAATGTGCAGCTTCACCCACATGCTCTACACTTGCGAAGATGGAACCTTTTCCAAACTTCCCTCCTTGCCTGCTTCAGTAGATCGAAGTTTCTGTCCGATTTGTTGGTCTCCAAGTGATTAGAGGCGAATTCGGCCTCCGGTAGGCAGGTTGCCATAATCACATCGAAGAATAGTGACAGCTGAAAAACTAGCTTCAACCGCTAGTCACCTATCCCGTATTCGTATTAAGGTTGGTTTGAAGCTAGAAGTCTTTGATACAAGATTCTTTCACGAACATCGATGCCAATGTAATCGTGTAAAAGCTAACGCACCTTTAGACCCAACGTGCCACTGTCAACACCGTAATAAGTGCACCGAGAAATGGGATAAACGGAGTATAGCGACAGAAAGCGAGTTGAAACTGATGGCGGTAGGAAAAGAAGAGCGAGAACCACAGCAGGGCGCTCTTTCGAAGAATGACACCGATAGCTCAGCGACTTTACCATATTCTGAAATAATTTTCGAGATCTTATCAGAAGGACTGAGCTGAGTTAGTGAATATCTGAATATTGTAGAATGCGAATAAAATAGTAGAACCTCTTCGTCAAGCTCGTATATGCCATGTGTTAAAGCCTGCTTACGATCGCCGTTGAAACAAAACGCAGCAATTTCGTCCGATTTGAGCAGGAGTTCACTTGGCTCAGCGGTTCTCCACAGTGCATCTGTCCCTTAAACGAAAAATATTAGCGACCCTTAGTGAGGGATGTGAGAAGTCTAGAAATAGAAGTGATTTCCTTCGTGTGCCGTTGTAGTGGAGGGTTCGAGATCTTATCGTAAATTTTCTGAAACTGGTCGATTACGAAGGATGATCCTATAGGGTCTGGAAATAAAAAATCCACATAACAAGTGCAGTGTGATAGGGTTTCAATGGCGCTTTCACAATTTGGGCTCTAGATTAACGCGTCCTTTTCGAAATTTTGATGTCGAACATGGGAATCTTCAAAGCAAGTGATGTTACTAAATTAGTTGCAGTACAACGCATTAGAAGGTAACAATGAGCACTACCAATCAGCATCGAGATTTCCTTTAACATGACCCGTTTTCCCTCCCTCTGTAAGTAGCTTGTGTCACATGGCACCAAGCAGGATCCATCTTCGTGTTCAGCCAATTTTAGAAACATTTAAGAGATGGTCCCTGATTCTCCTACCAAACGTACGAGGGTAGTCATAAACAGCATGACTCCTTAGCCATCCCCATCACCACCCTAATCACATGGCCGTTTTTATTATATTAGGTTGTCTCATAAGTAGTGTCGCTTTTTTTTGAAACAAAAAATTTCTGAATATTTTCTCTTCAGCAAATTTTTGTAGTTGTTGAGAACTCTTCTTTTCGAGCTTTACTGGGGAGCTTTCGCTGATATAAAAGCGTCCTCAGACCTAGAAAAAGTTACAAGCATATCACATTTAAACAGCCTTTGCAATAGTTATAAAAAACGATAACTATCTGACCAGGCAGCTACTTTCAATCAAAGAATTCTACAAACAATTACTTGAAACTGCAAAGTTAAGCTACAATCCGAACTAACACAATTGGGGACACTATAACATGACACCTTACCCTAGGACAGTTGCTAACCGATTGAAAAGTACTCAGAATGAGCAGTACGTGACTCTTTTCGCTGTGCTCGCATATGTACATCGTTAACTCATGAGTGTCATTGCCTCTATGACTTCCTCTCTGTTGTTTATTTTTGGAGACACTCGTTTGATAGCGAGTGCCTAGCACTTTTCTTTCCAAGGAGACATCCTTCGAGCGGTGGAGCACGGTGACTTTTATGGCAGGAGGCGGTTCTTGTCCGTGGTAAGTGTACGGTGTCGCGAAAAGCTGCTGTTTGGATAAGACGAAGGGTTTCTCAGCGCTCGCACATGCTCAACAATCCTTTTGTATAGCGGCCCCATGGTTTCTCCAATGCACTTGCGATCGCACACTTCACAAGTGACCAAATAAACGGTCCCTTGTAACTGGCAGATCTTCTTTTCGGTGCAGTACGAGCAGTTTCTTCGACCACACTTCTTTTCGTAGAGCCTCGATGACGTAAGCAAGCCTCTGATCTTCGTTGGTGGGCGGAATATTAAATTTACTGGAGGGTTCGTTGACTTCACGATCTGGTTCACTTTCTTTGCTATGCCCTCTTTCACATATGGTAGTATCAGTGGTATTCCTCCAGCAGTAGAGAAAGGACGCCATGATGTGGGTCACATGTGGTGTAGCTGGTCTCTTCGAATATTCTAGAAATACTTCGCTCCACTTCTGCTGACTCCCGAGTGCAAATCCTTGTCTTCGTCGTGATAAGATTCCGTATCACGTTTGCCTTCATATACAGTGGAAGAGCACTGTGTTAGTTCGGATTGTAGCTTAACTTTGCAGTCTCAAATAGTTGTATGCAGAATTCTATGATTGAAAGTAGAAGCCTGGTCAGTTAGTTATCGTTTGTTATAACTATTGCAAAGGCTGTTTAAATGTGATATGCTTGTAACTTTTTTCTAGGTCTGAGAAAGCTGTTACATCAGCGAAAGCTCACCAATAAAGCTTGAAAAGAAAGAGTCCTCAACATCTGCAAAGATTTGCTAAGAGAAACTATTCAACAAATGAGGCTCAGAGATAACTCCATTTTACAATATCCAAAAAAATTTCTGCTGAATCATTGGCTTTTATACCATATAATATTCCATTCGGAACAGAATTGTCTGCACTACATAATGTTATGTTTCTCTTCCATTGTTGCAGAGTTTTATATTTTAGGCCTGCGAAATGAGATATCCAGCTGACGAAAATCAACCAAACCGTCAATCAGCTCCAACTTTATATTCCCTCAGGAGAAACTAATCAATGACGTACCCTCTACGACTTGTTCTGAACATTCCACTATAAGGTTTCCCAACAAGTAGCGTCGTTCCTTTTCCATACCTGATTTTTCAACCGGAACTCGACGGTCGAGCACCATTATTGAGATCTAGCCTGAATTTTTTTGCAGCCGAG